TCATATAAAGATAGTAAAAACAATTGTTGGTGTATTTTCTTAAATCGTATTTGCACGCACGATTCAATGAATGATCCATAGTGTAAGGATTTGAATCGATGAAAAGAGGAACATCTGAATTGGGCATGTCGTGGGGAGGGAATGAGCTGAAGGCGGTGATCGATGGAGGATTCTTTGGGAAAAGACCAAGAGGAAGACAACGAGCGGCGATGAAAACGAAAAAGGAAGAGCGCGGACAGATGTTAGCAGCACAAGACAGGCACATGGAGGAGCTTATTGTGTCTCTGACCGGTCGATGGACAATGCCAAATGAATGATCTGAATGCATGCCTAGTGTGTATGATGATGGCTGCAAAAAAAATGACTGAAATGTGACTCCATTTGAATCCCAACAGGTATGGCCAGACCCAAGTCAATAAACGCATTTTCCGTCTTGGGTATATGAGGGTGCACTTGCCACTATTTTTCATGACGAGATATAAATGGGGCATATTGTCAGAGGAGAAGGCTTGCTGATGGAAGCTCGGAAGGATGGGGAAAGGGTCAAGAGGTTAAAAAAGAATGTGCCGTTGGATAACTTGAAGAACAGAGGGTCCACGTGCTGAATGAAAAGGAACATGCTGGATCAAACTGGACAGGGAACGTCAGTCTAGAATATTCCCTGAGGCTGATAACTCAACGTTTGCATCCCAATATTGGAAAATAGCAGCCATGCCTCCTGCAGTAATGCATACGTATGTGGATTATAGGTAGGGATTATAGATGTCTTGAGAACTGCTTTGTGTTTTTAGTTGTGTTGTCCTTCCCCGCACCTCCGATTAGCGCGGTTGGTTATGCACTGAATAGTATTTTTTCCTCTTTGGCTTCCTCTCGATCATTGCCCACATCGTCGAGAATGCCCCCTTATCAATCTGCGATTCTTATTCTCTACCCCTGCTCAAGTCCAGGCTCAAGTCTTTTGAATCCTGCCTTCGATTGACCCCTACTCTTTGAACCGTGACTTGAGATGCTGCTGCGTTTTTACGTGGTATAATTCCTAATTGTGCCCATCAGAAATATCAGAGGTTAGAAAAGCGATATGCGGGAGATGCATTCGTAAGAGTGGGATAAAGGATATAGAGGGAAAATCACATGTGTGGAGCTTAGGTGGCTGTGCTGAATATTCATGACGGTCACTCCATAGACTCCAACCCCCATGTGACACAAGACGAGAAATCTTACATTCTAACAGTTAATTTATTAACTAAACATAAACACTTCAGAGGGCTGTTTTCATTAGTAGATATGAGGCAGCGAGTCTTGATTGAATGAGCTTGTGAGTTGAATTTGGCCCATGGGCCAGATTTAGAAAATAATTTATGCAACCAGTTTAATTTACGGAACCAGAAGATGATTCTGTCGGTAAGGAATGGCGATGTAATGGTACATTGCGCATCTCAAAATGGGCCATTGCTCACATGATTAACCTATTCAATATAATTATTATGTTATAATGATGTAGTGAGTTTATTATAATTTTGTACTCGTAACACATTCCTGCAGAGGGAGCTGGTAGGAACGTTGGGTTGCTCGGTCAATGGCCAGGGTCAACGGCGGCGTGGTGTATTCCGCAAATATGCCCGACTGTGAGGGCGGGCACAAGCCGGCGTGAGTAGGTTAAACGTTGAGTTTTATAAGGGCTCCACGGGGTGACCAGCCCCTCCCCACCCAGCCCAAACCCCCCCACCTAGCCCCACCCTCCCCACCCAGCCCCTCCCCACCCAGCCCCTCCCCACCCAGCTCCTCCCCACCCAGCCCCTCCCTGCACGATGGACGGACGGACGGACACAATAATTCCCTGTGGGTTGGTGGAACCAGTGGGTTCCTACCAGTATAAACTACAGTATGCATCATGGGTTACATTGAGAGAAAGGTAAAGACGCAGCCCTGCAATGATCTATTCAGCCACTCCAGAAGAGACCACTTGAGAGACCTCGGGAGAGACCCTCTGGAGAGAATTTTTGGCCAATTTTTCCACACTGGCCGCAAGTCTTGAAAGAGGTACGAGTATCCACACTTTAACCCACCACGTGACCTGCTGTTGAACCGTGGTGCACCCATTGATTGCACGTCCAGTGTGCTAACCATTACGCCATGGCACCATCTCTTTGTTGCATTACAGATGCCAGATGCTTGGCTGTGAAAAATGTAAACACACTCGGTAAATTTGTGTTGCTATCCATTGCTAATGTAGGTTCATACGAATAAGGCATTTGCCCAATGGTTCACCCGTGGAGTACAAAGCTATTTAAGTCTGAACGGCGTTTTGTGATTTTCTTGAGCAGCTTTTGGGACACGCTGCTCAATGCCCCATGTGCGCCAGCTTAATTCTGTCTTAAGCCTTTACGAGACCCTCTATAACCTTTTGAAGTTGTGCAGAACGGACCCTTACTTTCTTTCACAATTGGCTTCATAGGCACAATGAGGTTTTTAATACAGGACAGCTTTGCAGGATGTCAAGAGTTTATTTGTACTTGAGACTGTCTTGAACTATATTGAGGGGAGCAGTCGTGCAGTGGTTAGGGTCTCGTTGCCACGCGGAGGTTCCTGGAGGCGTAGGGAATAATGGCACTTGGGGCCCGTTCATTCCACCATTCAAAGGCCCGTTGTGGAGTCCTGCTCTGTGTGAGGACCATGGCAAAATGTTTATTTTGCCAACCTCACCTTTCGGGTGGCCTTGAGTGCACTGCGTTATAAGCCCAGGTCGTCGTGGCTAGCAAGCTCTGTGTTGCAGTTGTGATTTTGCTTCTGATTTTCTTGTTTTAACCCTGGTTTTAATAATTATAATGTACGACCCTTTGCTATGACATTGCTAGCTGAATGGCTTACCCCACATGTGTCGATCATGAAGGATGTTTAACCATACTTCACCATGCTGGTCAGTAGGCAGGAGGTGCGATGTAAAGATTGGTTCAGGCAGCACTCATTGGCGATGTTCTCCGCGCCCAGCACTCAAACCCAGCTTTCCGGATTCATAGTGCAGCACGGAATGGATTTAAGGATTTGCATTAATTTGGGGCTTAAGCCCTGTCACATTTAACTGTGATGTACGGCGCGTTGAGATGCTGTCACATTTGAATGTGACAGCATCATTTAAATGTGACAGTTGATAAATTACAGAACACTTGGGGCAGAAAGGTTCTGGCTAATTTAAAGTAGACACGGCCTGGATTCCATGTAAACAATTCACGATTGGTGTGATAAGCATCATACAAAGAAAACATCATGTTTGCTCTCAGTTGAGTGTCGTTCGCTGCCAATAGCCATTAAACAAATCCATCATCACCAGTCGCCATCATCATGCATCATCTGTTGAATAAAGGCCACCTCTGGACCCGTGAATTGATCCGGCCATCAGTCAAGGATGTTCAAGGCGATAACGGAAACGGACAAAAAGCAACGAACTTCGGGGGGGGGGGGGGTCGGGGGACAACGAAACTACTGCAGTGACGTGGCAAGGGTGCGGCCGAAGGGGGGGCAGGGCAACTGCCCGAAATTTGTCGAATTCTTTGGAAAGGAAGCGAACAGAGTGGGTGGGGGGAGTTAGTGCGTCAAGATGTTGATGGTGTGGGTGCCCATTCCGCAGCAGCAGCAGGCAGGGAGTGGGTGGTGGGGTTGGGCGCGGTTGGAACCTTGCCCCGAGCGCCAAACTGCCGAGCCACGCCTCTGCACCAGAAGCCCGCACGCGCAGACCCAATGTGGCGAGATGTTAACTACCTCGCCTGGTGTGCAGGAGGTCGTGGGTTGGATCCTGACCCCGACGCCCGCTGTATGTTTGGAGTTTTGCATGTCTCTCTCCCCGTGGTGGCGTGGATTTTTTTTCTCCGGGTCCTCCGGTTTTCCCTCCCCATTGAGAAACATGCGTTTAGAATTTTTGGCTCCTATAACGTTCCACACGATAAGTCATTACGTTGAGCTATCATTTGTGGCCAGGTCGCTTCTGAAAAAAAAACCGGTATAGCTCAGTAGGCCTTAATTTGTAAAATGAAAAGAGCTTAGTTTAGTTCTTAGTTGAAGATCCAGGATCAGCCACCCCACAAGGTCCAGGAGTGAATCCATTCGAGTTTGACGAGTTCAACAACAGTCCAGTCCACCGTCAGTCAGCCCATCCAATCACGGCAACGACACCAACCACGTCAAGCCCCACCCACGGCATTAGCAACCCCCCCACCACCCCACCGCTCTACTCCCATTGGTTCTGGTACACGTGGCAGCTCTTTGTCAATCCACTGATGGATGAGGGTCTACCCAGGCCGTGTTATGGGAATTGTTTGTGACTGCACGTCACAACGCTGGTCAGTGCGGGTTGGCAATAGCGAGGAGGAGCATAGATGTTGAAGCTTCCTTCCCCCGCACCCCCGATTAGCACGGTGGGCTATGTACGGTGCAAAAGAAGTTCAACATATTTCGATTTAAAGCTTTCGTGACTGCAGGGATTCATCTTCTTGGTTCTTTCGGTAAAGTCACGTAGACTGGAAATAATAACGTCGTGAGAATTATTTTATTATGTTTTATTTTTATTATTTTATTTTTTCCATTCTACGTGACTTTCCCGAAAGAACCAAGAAGAAGTTCAACATACATACGTGCAACGATGGAATTTGTTGCACATCCCTCTGCCAACAACGTTGCCCTGCAGCAGCAGCAGCAGCAACCTATGACACCTGTTATGCGCCGCGGTCGCATATCCTAGCACTATTCAGGCTCAGGCCTGCTTGTCTTGCTAGGTTTCATGAGATTGCGTGCATCCAAAGTCATTCATATAGTTTGTATTTCATTCTTTTTAGCAGGAAGGGCTCAATAAGCTGCGAGGCTCTATTTAAATTGACGTCCTGTGATGGTGCAGATGGTATATGATACATTTGGTCGGAGGGACTTGGTCAAAATGGGCTTTAACCTTGGTTAGAAAGAATACGTTTGTGATTATTCATTCAGGAGAAACAGACTTGAGCAACAACTGCAACGTTTGTTAAAGAACAGCCATTTTACTTGTAATAATTTCACAGATGCACAATTCTTGTAAGCTTTTGGCACGTAACATTTCTTTATATTACCCAAGATTTACACTACACTCATATCTAAAAGCAACGTTATCATAGAACCATCGATAATTTTATACACTCTGTGTAAACAAAAAAATCTTAAAGCTGTAAAATGGAACTATGTTCATCCCCGTACAGCGGCAACACTCAACATATGGTGTGTATTATGTTAGACGAGACGTTACGTGTTAACGCATGATATTGCAGCGACGGCCGCAATGTGTCTGTAACGTTGAATGCAATTGCCCAAAACCTGACACAAAAACTACACGCACATCGGAGCAACGAGCCTTCGCTCCGTCGTCGTTTTACTGTGCTACTTTACAGCGTTGGCATCGATGATCAATGGGGGGGGGGGGGGGGGGTCACAGGGCCAGAAGACTTTCCCGACGCTGCTCCCTTACAGATTCAGTGGTTAAGCTACGGCATTAGAACACCCCACGACTCCCTGTCAGTGCTCGTTCAATACACATTGCCACCCTCATTCATCGCCGCGAGTGAGCATCATCTGCCTTGTCAACTTACTAACCGGCCCAGTGCCGGGAACACTTCATTTTAGCCACACTTGTAGCTGGGTTTGTTCACGGCAATCAAGTGAGAACAGGCTTGGCACTGGTCTTTTTTGTGTGTGTGTGTGGGTATGCGTGCGTGCGTGCGTTCTGTCTGTCTGTATGTACGTCTGTCTCTATGCAAGTACGTCTGCCTGCTCGGTCGTTGGCGATTCCCGCTGATGTAAAACTACGAGCGCCACCACGAACCGACGGAACGAAGATCGGCCTGATCGATCACGCGAACTGGTTGGGGTGGCCGTTGGTCCCAGGTCCCGGGAGAGTCGGGCGCGTCCCCGACGGTCGATCTTCACGTTGAGCCTCGTGCGTCTGCTGCTGCTGCTGCTGCTCCTGCTGCTGCTTCGGCTGCTGTTGCTGCTGTTGCTGCTGCTGCTGCTGCAATTGCTGGGAGTCGAGCGAAGTGAGCACGCTCGTGTCGATGCGCGTCAGCGAGTACATCATGACGCTGTGTCGCGTGCGGCGCGACTTGGTGGAGTAGAGCTCTAAGGCCTCGTCGCTGGACACGCGCACGAGCGGGCACCAGCGGAAGGCGCGTTTGAAGCCCGTGCGAAACCTGGCCACAGAAGCGCACGTGGGGGGGGGGGGGGGGGGGGAGATGAGCCAGATGACAAGGCCCCCAGCGTGAGCGAGCGTTTGCCGCTCGTGTCTTTCATTGAATCATTCATGAACGGGAGGGCGGCATATTCACAAGTGAAGTGACCGTATGGCATTGACCACTCTCGCTAACCTGACCCTCTCTCACCTTGACCTGGGGTTAGAGTCAATTAGAATGCCACAGATTGGGGGTGGATCAAGTTTCCCTCTGGGAAATTCGATACATTTTCATAATTCAGGTTCACCGTTGACATTCAATAATTGATTCTCTTTTTAGTTTTGTGAATGGTATAGCGCCACTAGTGGTTGCAGGGGTCACATGAACCCATGACAATTATACATGATTTGATGCATATATCGTGTTAGGCACATTTGAATTGATAAATTATTTCACCCCTATTATGCAGGTCACCTGAATAGGCATCAGCGAATCTGAAATCTGTTTATAAACTACTTTATAATGCATATGCACTCGAAATATATTCCGTAGTGAGGGCTATCCTCATTTTTGGCCAGCGAATGCTTGTTCTGTGCATATTCCCCAATACATGTTCGTGCATTCACTGCGAAACCTTGCTCAACATAAAAAAAGGTAAATCGTCCTCAACTCATTTTAATCGGCCGTTTTTGTCGACTCTCCGCTTGCACCCCTCACCTGCTGTTGAGGCAACAGTAAATGATGGGGTTGTACATCGTGGAGCTCATGGCCAGCCAGAAGATGGCCAGGTACACCTGCTGGATGTACTTCCTGTGATAGATTCGATTGAGCGTGCGGCCCAGCAGGAAGTAGACGTGGTAGGGCATCCAGCACACGGCGAAACGTCACCACCACCACGATCATCATCTTCACCACCTGGGGGTCAGCAAATCAGCGCAACGTGCTCGGTCATTGGGTGATTTTTTTTTCTTTCCGCCATCACCTCCCCCCCCACCCCCATTCGGGTGAAAAATGGACCTGTCTGTGCCACCTCAATGTTCATTATTTTCCCCGCTAGATTGATGCTGCACGACGTAGGGATCGTGGGGGGGGGGGGGGGGATGGAAACGAGACGTTGAGTAATGAGCGGCTACTCCGCAGCCCTTCATGCTCAATGAAGCACAGAGTAATGAGTAGGGTGGTCCTGGCTAATCTACTGTAAAACATCGAGAGCAGATATGGCCGGAATGTCATGGAAACAATTCACGATTGCGTTATTAACATCGCGTTCAAAACATCATCATGGTTGCTCTTATGTGTGTCGTTCACTGCCAATATCCATTAAAGAAATCCATCATCATTGTCATCACCAGTCACCATCATCGTTAATTATCTGTTGATCAAAGGCCACCTTTGGAGCAGTGAATCGATCCGACGGCTATCAGTCAAGGATGTTCAAGGCGATAAAGAGGTCAATTTTTCCCAACCATCATTTGACGCGGAATTGTGGTGGCGTGTGTGTTTGTGCGTGTTAAATGGTGCTCGCTAACAGCACTTGCCCCAGCGGTCTGTTAAGGCCACACGGAGGACCTCTGTCTTTGCGAGCCGTGCATTTCGTGAGTGGCCTTTGCAACGCAGACCTTGCGCTTGGATCGCAGCTGCTCCCGAAAGTGTTCCGAGCTATCGCCAGGAATGGTCCCCCCCCAGAGCGTGACTCCCACTATCGTGTAGGTGACGGCCATCACCAGCAGAGGAAATACGTACACCAGGGTCATCACCACCAGCTGGTATCTGCGGGACACGGTGAGCAAGCGAGTCATCGGGCGTTAAACAGTTGTTTGGTTCAACGAGGAGGCATCCGGGTGGCTCAAAGAGTTTTTCTCCCCCCCGCCGCCGCACCTCTAATCAGCTTAGTTTAAATAGTTTTTAGTTGAAGGGCCAGCAGCAGCCAACCCTCCAAGGTACAGGAGTGAAGACATTCGAGTTTCACGTGTTCAACAACAGGACGGGATAACAAGTATAACCCGTAAAAACAAAGTTTTTCACTATAATTCCTTTATATGCGTGGCGGCTAGAGTCCTCTCGTCCTCTGGCTTGAGATGGCTGCCACCTATGGGTTAGATGATTGCATGGCACCATTAAGCAATTGGTAATTAAATATAATATTTTTGTACTAAAAAGTGTAACATTTTGGAATTTTTTTTCACGAACATTAATTGTTACGCACAACAAGTCTGTGTGGAAAATGTCAGCTCGATTGGATCACGGAAAGTGGGTTAAAAAACGACCGAAAGATTTGCACGGTCGTAAGCAAGCAAGCAAGCGCGCAAGTGAACTTAATTTAAAGGATTTAAAAAGAGCAGTCCAGTCCACCGTCAGTCAGCCCATTCAATCACGGCTACGACACCAACCCACGTCAACCGCCACCCACAGCATTAGCAGCCCCGCCACCACCCCACCGCTCTACTCCCATTGGTTCTGGTACACGTGGCAGCTCTTTGTCAATCCACTGATGGATGAGGGTCTCCCCAGGCCGTGTTGTGGGAATTGTTTGTGACTGCACGTCACAACGCTGGTCAGTGCGGGTTGGCAATAGCGAGGAGGAGCATAGACGTTGAAGCTTCCTTCCCCCGCGCCCACGATTAGCACGGTGGGCTATGTACGGTGCAAAAGAAGTTCAACTTATATTTCACTTCTAGATTTGAAGCTTTCGTGACTGCAATGATTCATACTCTTAGTTCTTTCGGTAAAGTCACGTAAGTAAAAAATGAAATTAAGATTAATAATGTTTCTATTTTTTTTTATTAATCTTAATTTCATTTTTTTTCCTACGTGACTTTACGGAAAGAAATAAGAGTATACATTTCACTTTCTTAGGTTTTTTTCGGTAAAGTCACGTAGGGAAAATAATAATAATAAAAATAAGTAATAAAAATTATAGAAAAAATAATCGAAAAAATTATCGAAATAAAATAATAAATCACGACGTTTCGGAGGCAACACAAGCTTCCGTCTTCAGGTGGAACCGTCACAGCACGATAGCGGTATCAAGATTGACTTGTGTTGTGACGGTTCCACCTGAAGACGGAAGCTTGTGTTGCCTCCGAAACGTCGTAATCTATTATTTTATTTCGATTATTTGTATTATTTTTTCGATTATTATTTTTTTACCTACGTGACTTTACCGAAAAAACCTAAGAGTATGAATCCTTGCAGTCACGAAAGCTTCAAATCTAGAATAAATACATTTCACTGTGGGTGTCATCGATGAAAAGCCACCGTGTGGGTCACGAACCCCGATATTCGAGTTTATGTTTTCACACACGATCGAGTCACAGCGTTGGTAGATCATGACTAAGAAAGACCATCGGTATTTTGGACAAATAAACATCAGAATCTTTATTTATTCTGTGGAAATCCGATGAGCCACGATGCTCTTTCTCACAGATGTCCAGCAAACATCACTATTTTTTTCAGAATTACGGTATCTATTAGACTACGAAAGTGTATGCTCATGACTGAACTTTAACATAGCGTGCACAAATTATTTAATTTATTTGAAAGATAAAATAATAAATTAAATATCATTATTTAATTTATTATTTGATCTTTATACGTGACTTTACCGAAAGAACCAAAGAGTAAATGTGTCGAGTTTTTATTTTTATTTTTTGTGCTCCACTGCCAAATCAGTATCATCAAATAATTTGTGTCACGTATAAAGATAAAATAAAAAATTAAATAATAATATTTTATTTATTATTTTATCTTTATACGTGACACAAATTATTTGTCACGTATAAAGATAAAATAAAAAATGTAATACTATTATTTATTTATTTAATCTTCATACGTGACTTTACCGAAAGAACCAAAGAGTTATTCATGCAGTCACGAAAGCTCCAAATTAAGACTCGACACGTTTGTTAATGACACGGCCTTAAACGGACACATTTTGTGGAATGTGACGAGTTGTTTAAATACACGGCAGCGTATGAACATAACGGTTCAGTGCCGAGTCAGTATCTGCGCAGATTAAATATGGTTGAAGTTCAGTAGAACTTCTCTTATCACTGCCGAAAGAAGAAGGTTAAACTTTCCGAATCAGATCTTCCAATCTAACCCGTAACCTCCGGGAAACATTCGCTAACATGAGACTCACAACATGCACGGTGTGTCTGGGTGGATGAGATTTAGCCGCAGGCTGCTTTGCTAAAACGAGACCTGCAAAGCACCTGAGGGGAGACGTTACATCGTTCACTGCGAATGAAAATGCAGAATGATTAATTCACAGTTTTGAACACGAGGTCGATGCTTCGACATTCGAAGGTATACAATCAATGGGTTAACACTTCACAGGACACAAACAACAACAACAACCAAAAAAAATGACAATTAACCAAAGACTGTACGCAAAAAAAAACATCACATTACATTTTTATTTGCTCATTGGCAAAATTCCAGCTCTGAGATGATTTAAAATTATTGATTTGAATATCAAGCGAGGAACATCGCTCTCATAGGCAGAGCGAGCGGGGGAAACGCTGGAGCAGAGTTCACTTGAAGGCATCTCAGGAGGTAGTTCTGTGAATGTCCTCTCCGTGGGCTGTTCTCTGACACAAAGGGTTGCGATGCTCTGCGAGAAATGAAGACTTCATCTCGTGACACGATGCTGAAAGCACAATGGGGGTTAAAATTGTGGGAAAATAATGTTAATGTTGGCTCAATAACAGCGTAGGTTTCCTTGTTAAAATTCAACCGCCTATTTGATTACGCACATATTTGCACCTCTGTGAACAGCATCTGATCAAACAGCCTCAATCTATCTTAGCGCCCACGGTGCCTTTTATGATACGTTCTTGTGGCTTAGCTGTTGAGCGAGCGAGCGGCTTGCAATGGGAAGGTTGCAAAGTTCAAATCACCGGTTTTGGGGTTGATTCAGCCCATCATCCCCACGGCGGGGTTGATACAATATGTACCACTTTGTCGGAGAATCCAAACAGCGGTCGTCCTCTGGAGAAGCTCCGTCCCTGTTGCAGGAATGTGGCATTTCCACAAATTGGATCAAGGGGCTGTAAATAAGAGATGTGGATGACATCAATGCTCATTGAAGCATAAATCACGTTGAGTGTTTCCTTTTTATGCGGGGCATCCAGGCCAGCGGAATCACCGAGAGCGGGGCCTGTCTCACGGCTGAATAGTAATTCAGAGTAGATTATGATACAAATTCATTAACCCGCTCTCTGCTCCCGTGACCAAGCTTGTGCGCCGCGCTTGATGAACACGCCATTAAAAGTGGTCGTTTGAAAAAGCACCGCTGTATGTGTGAATGTATGTTCTTCTTACGTAACGAGGCCAATTTCATGAACTCGTGGCAATTTGTTTTTATTTGGAAGGGTACCCACATGCACGACATACCATGAGCACCGCACTGCATGCAGCAGGCAACTTCATTGCAAATCATAACTGGTGATGGGGTCTTATATTCATGTCTATAGCGATATAAAGGGATGCTGTCGTGGTGTAGTTGTTAGCACATTCCATTTGCAATCCAGAGGTCGCTGGTTCGATTTGATCTACCTGTGCACCATTTGAAAACAACGGGCAACTTTCAATAGGGAAAACTTCTTTGATTTTTAAATCCCAAGTCAACCTCGCAGTATGAATGGGTCGTACACCGCGTCTGGCGGGTGGCCGGGCATGGGGGTTGGCCGTGGGGGCTGGCCGCGTATGGGGGTTGGCTGTGTATGCGGACAGGGAATTGCAAACTGCTGCTGACAGTGGCGTGTCTGATTCTCTGACACCCACCCATTAGGGATTTATAAGGTGCTGTGACCCTTCCCCACTCCTCCCTCCCCTCCGCCCTGCCTCTCCTCACTCTCTCTCTCTCACACCCCTCCTCGCGCACCGACTCTCTCACCATCCCCTCCGCCCGCAAACCCTCACGACCCCCTCTCAAAGCCAGCGCGCTTATTCCCATTTCGAAGCCCTTCCTTCGATTGCGACACCTCTCCGTCTCTTGAGTACGGGGAGCTCACCACCCGGTCCTTCCCACTTCATGATTGCCAATCGACGGAACCGTGTACCGCAGTAGAAGCTGGATCTAAGGACAACTTGTACGCGTCGCCGGATTAGCGCAGAGGCTTTCGAGGCTACGGGCCAGGGGACTCTGATTTTGAGGGTCCCCCCGCCCCCCCCCAAAAAATAAACTACTTTGTAATAGATGAAATGCAATGCTGGTGCGTTATCAGTATTGCATTTGGACGTGGAGTCAGAGTACCCATTTGCTTCGGTGGGCATGCAAGGTGTGCCACCGTGCCTGTGTGCTGGTCAGCTGGTTTGTGAAAGCTGTGAAATGTACGTACGTGTTGAACTTACGTGTGTTGAACTTATTTCGCACTGTACGTAGCCAACCGTGCTAATCGGAGGTGCAGGGTGAATGACAACAGACTAAACACAAAAATAAGATCGAAAGAAATGAGTTTTCAATCTACATCTGAAAGTGCATATCCGCAGTGGCTTCCCTAATATCGGAAAGAAGAGCGTTCCAGACGGCCGCAGAAGCACATCTGAAAGCGCAAGACGCACATGGCCCTCTTTGTTCGATGGCCAGCCAAAAGCCGCCGCTGCGAGGATGACCGCGGAACGTGGTCATCCTCACATCACCCCGACCGCGGAACGTGGGGGCTGCCCCCCAGTAGCGCTCGCGCGAGATGAAACGGGGCGACTCACATGAACTGGCTGTCGCCGCCCATCTTCCCGGGCCAGTCCACGAGGCAGACGAAACGGCCGAACCTCTGCTCGACGCGCGAGTAGATGGATAGCGGCAGGGAGAGGCACATGGCAAGAGCCCAGATGCCGGCCATCACCAAGCGGGTGCTCTGCGCCGTCATGCGTGGCTTGAGCGGGTGTCTGATCGCCATGTACCTTCACACGCAACACGCCGGGGTTCAACGGGGGTCACGCGGCACACAGAGGAGGCGATGATGCGTGCGAGTGTGGAAGAGGGGCATTGTGGCCCATGTGATGCCCCCAACCCCGTGATTGCAATCATCATAATCATCGTCAGTTATAATGTATTACTTTATATTGTGGCTCACTCAAGTTTTAAACAAATCTGGCTACTGTAGGGTAAAACACAAGTGTAAACAACGAGCACAATTGCACAGAGTACTGCACATGAACTTCACTTTCAATGATTGATGTGTGAGTCTGTGGGTCTCTGTGTGAGTCTATGGGTCTGTGTCAGCCTTTGGGTCTCTGTGTGAGTCTTTGGGTCTGTGTGAGTCTATGGGTCTGTGTGAGTATTTGGGTCTGTGTGAGTCTATGGGTCTGTGTGAGTAGATGGGTCTCTGTATGTGTATATGGGTCTGTGTGTGTGTATGGGTCTCTGTATGAGTCAATGGGTTTCTGTGTGAGGCTATAGCTCTGGTGTGAATTTATAAGGCAGTAGCACACATGAACTTTAATCATATAACGTTCAACTCGTGTAGAGTGCCATCATTGTTTGCTTTGGTGATATACTAAGTCAAATCTTGACTTAAAGCTTTCGTGACTGCAGGGATTCATATTATTTGGGTCTTTCGGTAAAGTCACATAGATAGGTTCAAAGAAAAGAACAAAAAACTACGATCGAAACGTCGTAGTTCAAGAAGAGATGACGAACGTTTGTGTTGCGATCGAAACGTCGTGGTTTTTGTTATTTTATTTGAACCTATCTACGTGTCTTTACCGAAAGACCCAAATAAAATAGATATACTAAGTTGTGCGGAAACTTTGGATATGTCTGTGAATATTCTGTACGACATCGCGTCTAATTTCAGGGTTTAAATTTTTACTTTGCTGCTTATATTGTATTTGTAACTTCGTTTGAAATTCTTAATTAGCATATTAGAGAAAGGCTTGATTGTCTTATAAGGGTGACATTATTTCACGAGTGTGCAATCATATTGCCTCGGGCCATACTTCAGAACATGAAACATTAAGCAAACCAGTGCGGAGAGATGCATGCCGGGAATTACACTCAGAGGCAGAAAGAAGAACGCACGGATCGGTGAACGAATGGAAATTAGAGACATCGTGTTGCATGTTAAGCAAGTGGACAAGGGCAGGACACATTGCAACATGGGATGATGGCCGATGGATGAAGCTGGAAATAGCAATGTCATCCACAATGGGGAACGACCACCATGGGAATGGAGCGTAGGAGGTAATCTAAACTAAACAAATCTTTTCTAATTGTTCATGTTACCAGGTGAGGCCCACTGAGCTATATGGATCTTTATGAGACGTGACCTGGCCACAAATAATAGCTCAATAAAGTGGCTTATAACTGTGGAATCGTTTTTAGCAGCCAAATACTCTGAACAGTTGTTTCTAAATGTGGACGAAAAAACCCGAGGACCCGGGGAAAAATCCACCAGACCACGTGGAGAGAGAGACATGCAAACTCCAAATATACAGCAGGCGTCAGCGTCTGGATTGAAGCCACGACGTCTTGTATACCAGGCGAGGGAGTTAACATTCCGCCACAGCGGCGCTCCAGGGATGTGCAGGAACGAGATAGAATTGTGACATCGTATGACCATGATGGAGGCCTTCATCCAGTGGTGGATAGAACATGTCTGATTATAATTTGCTGTGCCTGCTTTGTTCACGTTTCCATTGGTTTCCCAGGGTTCACTTGCCAAGCATACTGAAAGTCTCAACGGTCACTCACCCCGTTTAAATAATCACTTTATCTAAATTCTATGTACTCTGAATTAAAATTAAGTGTGATTACTGAAAGTACTATCTCATTTAAATATATATTGCCATCACTGCCCTCCCCTGTTGCTTCACCAGTTGTAGTTTTACATATTTTATCATTTTAGATTGTAAGACAAATTGTTGTGCGAGGCGTTTTATACATGTACATATAAGCTTGTGTGATTGTTGTCATTACATAATTTGCATTGTGTACATCGGATATAACGAGTCGAGGGTCCATTGCGGTCAGTAATATATTTTACAAGGCACACAGACATGCGTTGGGATTGTTACACCGTGTGTTATGTTAAAACGTGGTTATACGCATTGCTTAATTTAAACTGGAGCTGTCCAGTGCTGAGCTCCAGAAAATATTTCTCCCCCGACTTGCGTGGACTTGTATGTATGTTCAACTTCCTTCGCACCATACGTAGTCAACCACGCTAATCGGAGGCTATGATTTGTGTGTGTGGGGGCCCCAGAAAATATTCCATAAAGGAGTAAACCCTGGTCACGTTGGTAACCACACACACACACAACGATAAACGTTTATTTCTCACTTGTGGCTGAATGAAAAAAAGGTCAAAAAGCAATTGAGATGCTTGGATCCAGCTTATGCAGCCAACTGCTGACGTTTGTGGATGCCGCGTGGAGCTCCTCCGTTCCTCCGTTGAGCAATGTTGTGCTGCGGTGGTTGACGATAAGGCCCATGGTTTGTGGCGTGGAGCCATAATTGCAACCGTGGGGGGGGGGGGGGGTTCTCTTTAATTCCCTCATTGTGCATGAGATTGGCACAGCACCCGTGTGATGTCCTTGTGCGGTTGAGTGTGGTCCAGAGTTTTCTGGACAGACGGAAGCCGGGGGGTGGAGGGGGGGGGTCCAAGACGATGTGTCTGTTGCAGACGCCTCGTTTTCGTTCATTCTGATCGCCAGGGTTCACTCCCACAGGGTCGAGCCTGCTGCCAGTTTCGAGAGCCTCCGCTTGAGACCGAAATAAAATAAAATATATTTCGTGGATTTTTTAGATGGGCCCTCTCTGTGGGTTCTGCGGCTCGTCACCCATCGGCAGCTGGGGCTTCATAAAATGCTGAGCCGGTGGTGTTAAGCGACCTCTAACATTCACACGGCACACTGCAGTGAGTTTAAGTGGTAACAAGAAGTGAAACGTGAATGCACTCGGTGTTAAGGGGAGCGCATCGGTAGGTTGCGCTTCCAGTCACGTGTGGCTTCAGTGTGTGAGCGACAAGGCGCGTGCAGAGGTTTTCAACCGTTTGGACCCGAACGCATTTCTCCAATTAAATCGCCTGGGGGGTATTGACGGTGCAGGGCGACATTGACCGTTTAAAGGGGGGGGGGGTAATCTTGTTCCTACAGTTATGGATACCCCACGAAAATAACGTGGAGGAATTACAGAGAATACAGCATTTCATTTCAAAGCCGATACACATAGCCCACTGGAATCGCATGACACTTATTAAATAATTGAACGCCCTCCTCTGTAAGGCACCGAGCCATCGCTTCACAATATTTAATCACCTGTTGAGAACACAGTAAGAGGGTCATTAACTATTTAGTAGGGTAAATAAAAGCATTTAGCTGTATATGGAACCAGGCAAATGCATCGTTTAGCTTAATGGGTACAAGGAAATATAAGCATTGTATGTCTCCACGTAAAATACAACATATTGTGTTGAGTCTATCGACATATTGGCTTTCCAGACCAAAGCGATCAAGCAGAATGTGTTTTAGAAAGCAAACGCGGCGCTGGTTTTGACTGTATGGGTCTCACCAGCAGTCAGGCCTGGTAAACAAATGTTGCTAGATTACCAGATGTATTTAGCAAGAGTACACCATATAAAGTATAAGACCCCATTCCATGCAACGAGAATAGAATGTTCGCTTATATTTGATTTAGCCTTATCTTTCGGTATATTCGGAGTTTTGCTACAAAGCTCGGATCAAGGATATAAGGTTCAGACAGCTGCTTAACACTTAACATTGCGATTCAGGAAAGCCACCACTTCTCTTATGCGGTTCTGTCTCACTGCCCCCAACTTTTCTGTATGTTTAAAAAGAAAACCTGCAACTTGGTATGTGAGATGAAATGGTCATTCAACAAATAATTCTCACCAGAACAGGAACGTTTTAAGGTGACTGGCTGGCCTGTAAACGAAAGCTGCGCTTAAATAGTACTAACGCAATTATACACTCAACTATGTCGATACATCAGACTTCACATTGGCAAGATTCCAAAACCGGGCTCGCTAGAACGACATTCTGTAATCTGTGACTCATCCAAGATGCACCACCCAATGGGATGTTAATCACACCATGGGTCACTCCAGTAATGCCATTACATGGGTGCCCTATTTGTGCAGTCCTTTTAATTCACTCGCTATTACCTAAACCTTTAAAGATGAAAATGTCCATGTCAGTTAGCCACTTATATTATGCTCTATTCACGGACATTATTTTGATCCATGTTCAATGACATCACTGAATGACAGTGGTATTTGATGAGAGGCAGTGATCAGAGAGGCAGGGATATGCTTTATTATGTAATTGCTGTAGCTGCTGCCGTATTTTTTTAAATATAAAAGAGAGAGAAGGCTATGCGAGCAAGGTGTGCGAGCCTACAGTGGTAACTGCTTAATCTCTGTATTACATCGCGTTGTTCCTTGCACCCGATTTAATAACAGTAATTTGCGGTCTCTGTTAATCCGCTGCCAGATGAAGGCCTGCCTAACTCTAACTGCTGTATCAAGGCATCGTCCTATGTTGTGTTGGTCATGAGGTTTTGTTTATAACCATACTTCACCGCACTGTTCAATTCGGGTTGGTGAAGGGGGGGGTGGAGATTCAGGACTGGTTCAGGTATCACTCCCCCACTGATACTAGCTATTGCTGGGAGCCGAACTCAGGTTTAACAGCGCAGTTGGCTAACCACTGCACCACTGCTCCACCTTTACCACGCTGGTGAGTGTGGGTCATGTTCTCCAAAATCTACTGATGGGGCCAGATATGTTTTAAGCTTCATGATGAATGTTTTTTTTCCGGTCAGAATGTTTTTCTCTGGGTGAAAAAATAGGAGAGTTGTTCGACTCATCACCAACGATGGGGGCGATTTGCCGAGGTGGTGTGACGCGTGTCTGATATTTCTTCGGGACATCGAAAGTGGCACTTTCAAGTGCTGACCGCGATCACGTATCCGATGGGGCAATCGTAGAAATATCGACACGGACGTTTGATTCACGCCGGAAGAAGCCGGCGAGCTGAGAACCTCTTGTTCAGGAGGCGTCCAGCCAAAAACTCAAGCGGTCGGAAATGGCGGAACATTACAGAGGAATTCATGTTCTTGGTTATTTCGGTAAAGTCACGTAGAAAATAAATAAAAAAGAAAAAAAGAAAACAATAAAATTCTCACGACGTTTCGATTGCAACACAAGCAATCATCATCAGGTGTGAAAACCACAGCAAGAAAATGTTCTTGTCGTGAGAAATTAATTGTTTTATTTTTATTATTTTATTATTTCCCTTCTAAGTGACTTTACCGAAAGAACCAAGAATATGAATATCTGCAGTCATTAAAGATTTCAATGGAAAAATTACAGAGGAAGTTAAATAGGTAGATACAAATGTTACTGGTTGCAGAGCGGAGGGAAAAAACCCACGAGCATTTAAGCTTTCAATTCATTAAGCAACCAAGAACGGTCACGCATTAACATGGATTCTATAATATTGTACTTTTCAACGTGCGTTTATTCTCAAAAGTATTGAGATAATTTAGATTATTTCGTTGCTACAAATGTCCAAATGATGGGGCCACTTTCATGAGCTGTCATTCGTGGCCAGGTCGCTTCTGAAAAACAAGTTACTACCTCGGTGGGCTTTGCCTGGTAGGATTGGGATGGTTTAGTTTCATTTGTATGTGTTTTTGATTATTTGTTTACCTTTCTTGCAGATGCACTACTATCGTGTTTTGTCTTCTTTGTTGTTGTGACGTTCTTATCCGCCCCTGAAAAGAGCTTCATAGCTCATCGGATTCCCCCAGAATAAATAAATATTCTGATTCTGATTTATCAGCGGCAGGGACACTGCGCCTGCATATTTGCAAGTATTCCTTTTTGTGCTTTATACTAAAGTTAAATATATATTTGTTATTATTGGACCACCCTTATCAGCGTTATCGTGACCGCGTGTTATAGACGAACACAGCGAATTGCGTCGATGCTTCCCAACCTTAGTTTGAAGGGATGTTTTTGTTGATATGTTTAAAACGACGACCTCGCAGAATCAGTCGCAGTTAATGCGGAAGGTCTCGAGACCTCTGTACACGAAACCCACGCCTGCCGGCTTCTGCCATGACCAATCTAAAACGTTCGTGGATTGACCCAATATTGGCTGAGCTACGTAAAAAAAAGGTGGTCCGTAAATCATTTATTGCAGCGCGCGGTGGTTCGCTGCTGCGAAAAACCATCGAGTCGAGCCCAGTTTCCTCCTGTTTATGTTGACCGGCCACGCTGATATTAATCCTCATCCAAACCACAGCCTTTAGCGAGCCCATCAACCACTGGAGCAAATTCCTGTTTCTGGAAATACGCCTGGGGAGTCACCTCCGTGGAATAAGTTGGGTGGGGAATGTCGGAATGGGAGGACGTGGGGAGGAGGGGGTTCCATTACTCAGTAAGTCCAATGTGATTTATTATATCGATGGTTCGTATGATGGATAGCCAGAGTCAGTGTTAAAGTGAATCGGATTACGTCTTATTCTCTAAAGGTATAAGCCGGGGATGCTTCTGCTCAAACAACACCGCACCTCGTCAGTGAACAATTCGTCAAAAAAGATGAAATGTGACGAGGATAAATCGGAGTTTCGGAGCCACGAGGATGAACTCTCTGGCGAAATGACGAACAGGAATTCATGGCCCGTGTTATTACGAACAAGCAACATCCACTGCAATGTCACCGCCATTTGCCGATGTCAGACCCCGGGTGTTCTTGGTGAACCGGGATGACTGCCAGATGCGCACCCCCGCCCTGTGGCATCTCGCTGCGCTGTATCACGCTCACAAACCGCAGGTTGTTCGTCGTTGCGCTTGTGGTGGCAGTCGGCTGCCGTACGTTTCGCTAGGCACTCGGGGAGGGGGGGGGGGTGGAAACTTGCGTGAGTTTGGTCGCAAAATACCGAGAGTACCTTTTTTTTCTCTTTCAAAAGTGTCAGCAAGCGGAGCACAAACTGTCGGCATCCGTTTGGACCCATCGCTTGGAAGTACGTACGATTCTGAGCGGTTCAACAAAAAAAAAACGGTCCTGCTCCCCGTTACGAAAGGACACGCCACCTGCTATCATAATTATCCTAGTTATCGCCATTGTTCCTCCATCCCCTTTGGTCGCATGCCGAGCGCGAGTGCCGAGCTCCCATCGAGCTGCACGTGAGTAATTTGTGTGTTTGTTTCTACGCGTGCCCTGTGCGTGCTGGATGCGCTGCGAGCGAGAGAACGTGTGCGTCAGCTCGGCGTACGCGTGTTGCGAGTGCGCGTTGCAGTTTCAGCGAGTCGGTTTCCAACGGAGTTAAAGCACGTTCGTCTTAAACGGCGGTGGCGTTGCTGATGTGTAGAAACATTTAAGCACAAAAATTGTCGGTGGGAAGAAAAAAAAATGCGACTTGGGCGTGTGAACGGTGAATTCGACACGTGCGTGTGCGGGTTCTTGGTGGGTGCGTATGTGTGTGTGTGGGTGCGGATGTGTGTGTGTGGGTGTTTGGTGGGTGCGCGTGTGGGTGGGTGCATGTGGGGTGTTGGGTGTGTGCGTGTGTTTGGTAGGTGTGTGTGTGTGTTGAGTGGGTGAGTGTGTGGGTGGGTGCATTGTTAACGCGTGGTTTTATGATACCTTCAAGTGAGTAAAACGAGGTCGATTTTTTCGCGTTTTCAAATTTCGATTGAAACAGCGTGGGGCGACACTGTCGCACTGGTGGGTCAATACGGTACAATGAATAGTGGTGGGATGCGCGGGTGTGTGTGTAAGTGTGTGTGAGTGTGTGTATGAGTGTGTGTGGGGGAGCGGTAGTGTAGTGGTTAGCGCGCTGCGTTATGCACCTGGCGACCCGGGTTCGATTCCCGCTCACGGCCATCACCGGTGACGATTATCTGAACCGGTCCTGGGCCTCCCCTAGGTCGACTCAGCCTCAAATTGAGTACCTGGTGCGATGTGTAAACATTGTCGCTAGGGAGACAAAGGCGGCCGGGCGTTGTGTTGGCCACCCACCCCCTCGTGTGCAGTGTCGGCCTTTATAAATGCTCGCTAACAGCACTTGCCCCTACAGTCTGTTACAGGCTACACGGGGATCTTAGTCCACTCGTAGGGAGCGGTGGTGTAGTGGTTAGCGCGCTAAGCTACGAACCCGGTGACCAGAATTCGATTCCCGCTCACGGCCATCACCGGTGACGATTATCTCAACCGGTCCTTGGCCTCCCTAGGTCGACTCAGCCTCAAATGAGTACCTGGTGCAGTATGCAAATATCTCCACCAGGAAGACAAAGGCGGCCGGGGCGTGATTACTGGCCACCCACCCCCTCGCGTGCCGTGCCGGTCTTTTATAGGTTCTCGCTAACAGCACTTGCCCCAACGGTATGTGAAGGCCATACGGGCTATCTTTGTCTTTAGTACACGCGTGTGTGTTGCGTGCTGTTAACGAGCACCTTTGGAGGCCGGCGACGTTCACACATCATCGACAGCTACTCATTTGAGGCTGAGTCGACCTACGGGAGGCCCGCGACAGGTTCAGATAAACGTGAATCGATCTCGCTGAATGAACACATGGTGCGCGTGCTTGTTGTGTATGTAAGTGTGCGTACCTGAGTGAGTCTGTCTGTATGTCTTGTGTACGCACGTGTGTGTGTGCTCACGTGCGTGCGCGTGTAGAGTGCGTGCGTACGTGCCTATGCATGCGCGCGTGCACGCGGGGTGTTCTCAAAACAACACTTGCCCCGGACAGACTTGCGTAGGCTTTGCGCGCATTGGCGTTATGCATGCGCGTGGCAAGGATGACATCTCCACCATCAACCCCCCGACATCACGCGCGCGTTACCTGTCCACCGCTATGGCCGTCATAGAGTAGATGCTGGCGAACACCGCGGCCACGGGGATGAAGTTCTGGAAGCGGCAGTAGGCGCCACCGAAATACCAGTCGTTGTGCACCGCGTACACGAAGTTGATGCTCGTGTTGAGCGCGGCCATGGCCGAGTCGGCCACCGCCAGGTTCACCAAGAAGTAGTTGGTGACGGTGCGCATGCGACGATGGGCCACCACGATCCAGATGACCACCATGTTGCCGAAAAAGGCCACGGCTACGATGCCACCGTAGGCCACGGACCACAGCGCGACCTGCCACGGGCGCTGCGCGAATCGATTGGTGGCCCCGCCGGCGCTCGCGTTGACGAGAGGCGACGACGTCGAGGTCGGGTCGTGTGACCAGCTCGACGCGTTCGCCGAGTCGGCGGAGTCCCACGTGGCGTTCGGTTGAGATGCCAAACCCAGAGCGGTGGACGCCACGAGGAGTTCCATGGTTTCTCCACTGCTGGACCTCCTACAAGCAGCGAACGTTTTCTGTCAATCGGCTGAAGAGTCACACTCAACGGGCAAGGGGGTGACGAGGTTGACGCGGGGGTTGTGCTGTGAAGCGCTTAGAAGTTTGTAAAGCGGTTAGAACTTTAGACAGATCCTTGCACTCCGCTCCCCTACGAAGTGAAACCAATCATCAATCCTCTCGGCCGGAATTTTTTTTGGACGATGCCCAAATTCGATTTTTTTAAATTTGGAATTTGAAAAAAGATATTGTTATACTCGTGGACTCGACTACTGAATATGCGTGCCAAATGTTTACATCTCTCGCCGAACACCAAGAGAATTGATTTCAGTCGCTCACTATCGCGGAATAAGGAAAATTATCCGAGCAAAACCTACCGCCGGGCGTGCGACTCCAAACTTGAAATGCGTCTCTCAACACACGGGTAGGAAGGTGGCTTTTTGAAAAATACGGCCGTGCCGAGATGGATGCGTGTGATTAAGTGCAGCGGACACACGGGTGTCGCCACGCATGTTTAAGCGCGCAACGGCGGGCGGTTATCATCGCCGACATGAACACTGCCGAAAACGAGTCTACTACTCTCTAATTATGCAGTATAGGTCCCACACCAATTATTGTTTTTGCGCGCGTCTGTGTAATCGATGCAGGATGTTAACTTAAACGCGAGACGGTGGTGTGTTTAAACAAGCGTGTCACGTTGCCAAGTTGTGTTGTCCGAAGTGCGATGGCAAGCGATATGGATGATTGCGCGCTGGCTGCGTGGACAGCTTCGAGGTGGGCGGAGCAGTCTGGCAAGGTAAATGTTTGTTGATGATTGGTGTTGATCCTGCCGCCGCTGCTGCTGATATAGTTCGTACCAGATTCGGGAATACGAGCCGGATTGTCTTGAAGTAGTCACCGATCCCCAGCTCGACGCAACACGAGTACCGCTCGCTCAGCGCTAAATGCCGTCGTGATCAACGCACCAAACACAGACAGACAAAGACAACCTACCCCCTGTAGTCTTTACTCGGCTGTTGCGGCAAGTGCTGTTACCTATGAAGGTGAGCACGGCGCACGAGGTGTGAGGTGTAGCCAGAACCACACCCGACCGCCTTTGTCTCCCCAGTGCTAACGTTTATACATTCGGCACTGAGTACTCATTCACGGCCGAGTCGATCTAAGAGACGCCCAGGACTTGTTCAGAAATCGCTCAACGCTGACGTTTTTCGCGGCCTGGAATCGGAACTCAGATCGTCGGGTTGGAAGCGCTGTGCAATAACCACGGCGCCAGTCGCTGCACCCCTCTCACGCACGGCACTCGCAATACGCATTTAGCTTCGGAACTCCTGCCCGCACTTAACAACACTAATCTCTCAACAATAACGCAGCCGGCTGGCTAACTCGCCAGCAACAACGCACCCTGCTCAAACACGTAGCGAACGGATTAGTTGCTGTTGCTGCTGCTGCTGCTCATATAACTGTCTGCTGCTTTGCTGCTGCTGCTGCTGTTGATGCTGCTTGCTGCTGCTGCTGCCCTTTGAAATAGCAGCAGAGACAGAAGAAGTGGCTCTTTGCTGTAGGCGGCAGCAGCGGCGACCGTGGCGCCTTGGAAGCCGCGCGCGGGGAGGTGGAGAAAGGGGGCCGAGACCCGCGCTTTATGCTGCGCGCTCGGTGACGCCACCCCGCGTCACCGCCAAACACGTCTCGTTCTACACCACCACCCACCCCACCCCCCCAAACAAAAAAAATAAAACCCTTTTAACATTTTATTTTTTTGCTCATAAATCTAACGCATCCAAGGGCCACTGCCAGAGTGAGTGAGGGTTGTGTGCCGAGGCGGTTTTTTTTTGTCCGTTGATGAAGCAGCCATATGAAGAAGGAATCCATATTGGTACAATATTAACCTTATTAGCAACTAAGCGACGGAATGGATATGTGGGCTAGCCACCCCCCCCCCCCTCCAGCTGGAACCTCAGCCCCGCGTCTTAATGTCAGGTGTATGTATGTACTCGTGTGTTGAACCTCTTTCACACCGTACCGTGCTCACCGGAGGTGCTGGAGAAGGACAACAAACTAAACACAAAAAGCGGTTCTTAAGAAATTGAGGATTCGATCTTGATTTAAACGTACACAGCTCTAGTGGCGTCATGATATTGGTAGGAAGAGCGTTCCAGACGGCCGCAGTAGCGCATCTGAAAGCGTGCGACGACGCAGTGGTCGCCTTTGTCCCGATGGCGAGACAAAAAGGTTTCATTCAGTGATGGAAGTCGCAACCTTAGCAGGAGGCGTGATGATGAACGGACACAAATCGCATTGCTGCTCATACCGTGAATTGTTTAACATATGTTTAACATTGGCTGCATTGTGTACCCATTAACGTGGCATGCCCCCCACCATCGCACACTCATAAAAAACGAATCGTGTTAAAAAGAAAATGTTTTCAGTCAAATCAGCTATAAAGTTTGATTGATATGCGGCAAACACTATTTTTTATTTAGCTTAAGCTAAATAAAAGTATCTTTGGAAGCGATGCGACCTTGATGCCTGCAGCAAAATTGGACCGCAATTGGAGTACCCGAGCAAAATAAAATAACGAAATAAACACGAGCCTCCGCTGATATGTTCTGTGCAGCTTCACTCAAAGACAAATGCCAAACAAAGCGACTGCATAATGCAGTGGTGAAACGGCACGGGCACAGCCCTTGCAAGTTCGTACTCACTCCAGGCAGCTTTCGAGTGGCCCATCTCGACATCATGATTAGCCCAGTTCTCACAAGCCGGCCAGGCATCTTGATGGAGGTGAAATTAACGACAATTTTCTCCATCAAACTTGACCCGATAATTTACTAAATGTGGTGTGCCCAATTTATACTGCTGGGTAGACCGAGGCGGGGAGGAGGGGGGGGGGATGAGAATCGCCCCGTTGTTATACGCTGCCTCTGGGTTGCAAGTCCAGGGTACTAACGCATTGCCACAACGGCAGTTGTCCCTTTTTTTTTGCAATGACGCATCAAAGCAAATACAATCTCGCCAGGCTCGACGAGGACAGCCTTAAACCAGACGAATATGGAACGGACTAATACACACAATGTAATAAAAAAGGATCATTGTCAAATAACGCAAGCCTATAACAGTATAGGCCCTAGTACAAATTGTTGGTTAAGACCCCGATCATGTAAGAACACATTTTTAAAAATAATAATTATAACAACAATTATTGCATTTAATAAAACAAATGCCCCCATCGCCCACGCCTCTAGTCAGGTCTACTTACCACGAATGTGTTGAAATTGTATTTCACTCTGAAGGGACGTCAGCATTGACGTTTTAAATTAATCGTCATTCAGCGAAAAAATAAAACACGTGTTGTGTAGTTCTGAGCCAACAAACAAAAAAAAATCCACGTTTTTTTATGGCAGGGACCATCTGCATTGTTAACTTTCCACGAAGTGATACGTGCAGCCTCACTAGGTGGTGGTATTTTACTGACCCATGAGGATGATGATTGTGATAGATTGAGCAGATCTTGCTCAGGACTGTCACATCATCATCATCAGCCATGGTCAATGCACTGTTGGACGAAGGCTTCCCCATGCTACTGCCATCTCCTGATATGCAACGATGTAACAATACACGCAGCACCTGCACATGAATTTATTACCATCGTTCCATCTCTTTTAACTTATGTTCATAAAAATATATATTGATAAGCCCAGTTGCCTAGCGAGGGAGCAATCCAAAATGGGGGTTTTACTGAACGAATGTCTGATCAAGAACAATAGTTTTTACCCTTTCTGGCAATACAACAGGTGTTAAGATATTCAAACACCAAATAGAAACCTTTTGCAAGGAATCAAATCTGCATTAGACACACAGTTGTATTGAACATGCAACCTAACATGCTCTGGTATATGACATTGTCTTTGAAACTGATTGGACTATACCAGAGATAGCAGCCTTTTTAATTCCTTTATTAAATCCTTTATATTAAGTTCGCTTGCTTGCGTGCTTGCTTGCTTGCTTACGACCGTGCAAACCTTTCGGTCGTTTTTAACCCACTTCCCGTGATCCAATCGAGCTGACATTTTGCACACAGACTCGTTGTGCGAGACAATTAATGTTCGTGAAATTCTTTTTCCAAAACTTTACACTGTTTAGGGAAAACAAATTAAATATTTAATTACCAATTGTTTAATACTGCAGACAATCATCTGACCCATAGGTGGCAGCCATCTCAAGCCAGAGGACGAGAGGACTCTAGCCGCCACGCATATAAAGGATTTAGAGTGAAAAACTTTGTTTTTACGGGTTATACTTATATTAAGTTCACTTGCTTGCTTGCTTACGACCGTGCAAATATTTCGGTAGTTTTTTAACCCACTTCCCGTGATCCAATCGAGCTGACATTTTCCACACAGACTCGTTGTGCGTGACAATAAATTTTCGTGAAATTTTTTTTCCAAAATGTTACACTTTTTAGGACAAAAATATTATTTAATTACCAATTGCTTAATGGTGGCATGCAATCATCTGACCCATAGGTGGCAGCCATCTCAAGCCAGAGGACGAGAGCACTCTAGCCGCCACGCATATAAAGGATTTATAGTGAAAAACGTTGTTTTAACGGGTTAATTTTTTTATGGCCTAGTCTCAACAGCGTCAGACCAGAGAACGGCAAAAGGCGATCAGTACAAAGGCAATGCACGTGTAGTGAATCCAACTTGAGTCGCAGACGTTATCTTGGGAGCAACACAATGTATTCAATAAATCACACTACATAACACAACCTACACTTGGGTGTTGAATGCTCATCTAGCTACGCTACGGCAGAACTAGACACGGGTTCGCTATCCCGGCCCGGACCACGAGCTGGATCCCGGACCGCGTGGCTAGAGTCTTCTTTTACCCTACGTGGATCTTCTTCACCAGCAACACGAAGAACCCTAAGCCCCTCAAGGGGCCCCCGTTATATCGGCCCGGGCTGGGGCTGGCTCCGCCCCTCGCCCCGCCCACCTTCTAGATCTCTCTCAAGCTCTTTCCCGAAGGCTCCCCGATAGCTCTTTTAGACCACGTGACCGCCCAGCGGTCTCCCTCCACCGGTGGTCCCCCCTCCAATATCATCCGGTCACGTGTCGACAGGTCAACCAGCGTATCATGCCCCAAGGTAACCCTGGCTGTTGACATTCCCAGCGTTTACCAGTATTGCTTACTTTTGTGCTTATTATCAGCTAACACCGGCCACAATCATGAGCCGATGTGCACCATTGTTCTCTTTTATCCCCGCTCCCCAGGACCATCAGGCCATCCCCCTGGCTACCACATTCAGACTACCCCCCCCTCCCCCCCTTAACTTGTATTAAAGGGCTTGTCTCTTGGATTTTTTCCTCACTTAATACAGTAAATTCAGCTGTGACGGTCCCACCTGATGACGGAGACTTGTGTTGCCTCCGAAGCGTCGTAATTAATTATTTTATTTCTATTATAAGTTATATAAATGTATTATTTTATTATTTATTTTTCCTACGTGACCTTACTGAAAAAACCTAAGAGTATGTAACCCTGGCTGGCTGACGCTCCCTCTCGCTCCCTCACCGGGAGTCCGCACCGCACACCGTACGTGGTGACTCTGTGCTAACCAGCGCTCACCCAAGCCCCGCTAGGGCTGGCGGTACTAAGCCCAGTGAGCGGGCTACACGTAATGCCAACACATTATCCGCCGTGGCTTCGTTAGCCCGGCACCACACAGTGACAATAACAGTCACTACACACGTGTCAGAGCATTTATAGCTCGGGGTGAGCCGCTATATCAATGGCTCTTTTTACCAGTATGAAAATTAATAGTTTTTACCCTTTCTGGCAACACAACTGGTGTCAAGATTTTCAAAACACCAAAGAGATACCTTTGTGCAAGTAATAAAGTCTGCATTACCCACACGTATACTTGTGGTGAACATGCAAAGAAGCATGCTCTGATAAAATATGCACATGATCACTGTCATCGCTGCAATTTACATGTCTTGATATCAGCACGCACATCTCCATTTCCTCACAAAGTACCAATGTCCTGTGCTTGCACATTACCGCCACATTCATGTTACACGAGCTTATTTTTCTTTCTTGTATTTACTTGTAGAGAGATACGTGACCTAATTCTCAAGATACTCCAAATAATCGATGTTAAGTTCTTACGTGGTGAAATCGTTGTAGTCGTGTGTCATTATCACCATTAGCTACGCACTATCCACTGCTGGGTTAAAGAAAGAAAACATTGCCATGTTCGTGACTGTGCGATGCAAAGATCCATAAATATATAGTCTACACAACAAACGGATCGCGCTCCTCCGTCTGCGTGGTAGATAGGCCCCAACTGGGGCAGAGGCCGCTCAATTCTGAGGTCCGGGGGGGGGGGGGGGGCAGTCTGTGTGAGGAAATTGCAAATGTGATCAGAGTAAACAAAAAATAATTTTTTTTTATTAAAATATGGTACGCTCTCCGTTGCCAGTGAGTCTTCCATATTCGGCAGCTCCAACGATTATTCGTCACCGGCCCATTTGTGTTTTTTTTGGACGCAGCCCAAATTAGCCAACGAGATCACACGGCAATTTGGAGC